GGAAACCAGAAGGCTTCCGGGGATCTTTCTTCGATGGTGACGGGGGCCTTTATGGCCCCTTGTGCAAAAATAGGTAGGCGGTACGTTTGAAAAAAATGAATTTCTTGGAATTCCCTTTTACGAATTGCCATGCTTGGGCCGTGGCTCAGAAATTTCCTGGATACAGGCCGTGGACTGTTGGGACGCCTCTGGGGGCCTTTTGACGGCGTCTTGGGTGTCTTTGGGAGCCTCTTGGGAAGCTCTTGGTTGCTCCTGGGAGTCTCTTGGGAGTCTCGGCATCTGGGGGGCGCCTCGAGAGCCTTTGTGGGAACTTTGCAGCCATCTTGAGGCAAAGCTTTGCGAGAACCTTGGGGCCACCTTGGGGCAAAGCGCACGTGAGGCTTTTGCAGGTTCCCTCTTTTGTCTCTTTCTTGGCGCGCGCGCTGACGTTCTAGCTAGGCTGGACAGGTGAACTAATAGGATTTTGATTGTTGCGGTGGTTTCAGGGGCAGCCAAGAGGAGGACACGAAGACCCAAGAGAGTGCAAGACAGCGCCAGAGAGTTCAACAGCATTCCCGACAAATCTTTGCAATGTGACCCAGAGAAGTCTTGATGGGGCTCGGGATGAACTTGCACAAAAAGATAATCACTGGATGTTCTGCTTCTTTCAAGTGGGGCCTCCTAACATGTAGTGCGCAGGAATCGGGGTGGGCCTAAGAGGCGTGCAGGGGGAATTGGGAGGCAGTTTAGAGGCCGCCCGGAGCATCTAGGCGCAACTAACTCCCAGTACCGCGCCCTAGGGCATTCCGGGGAACCCCCAAAACGCTCCAGGATGGCCCACGACGCCCCCAAAGAGCCCCCAAAACGCGAAAGGATGGCCCTAGACGCTTCCAAGCAGCCCAAGACAGACTTCCGACGGCTCTCCAGGCTCCCAAGAGGCCCCAAGAGCGCCCGAAGAGGCCCAAATCGTTGATTTTCACTCTCCAGGCTCCCAAGAGGCCCCAAGAGCGCCCGAAGAGGCCCAAATCGTTGATTTTCACGTGTGTGTGTGTGTGTGTGTGTGTGTGTGTGTGTGTGTGTGTGTGTGTGTGTGTGTGTGTGTGTGTGTGTGTGTGTGTGTGTGTGTGTGTGTGTGTGTGTGTGTGTGTGTGTGTGTGTGTGTGTGTGTGTGTTTTGGATGTTTGTAGTCTTACCGCGTTTTTGAGCTTCCAACGCTCCGAGGCGGCCGAAAAGGCTCCTAAGACCGCCCCAAGACCGCCCAAGAACCCCCCAAGACGGCTCCAAGAGGGGCCAAGAAGACCCCAGGACCGCCCAAGAGCGCCCCGAGGCAGCCCAAGAGAGCCCCAAAATGGCCCGAAAAGCCGCCCAACAGGGGGAACGCAAATCGACAATCCCAGCTTTCCGCTCCAAGAGGCCCCCAGGAGGCCCCAAGAGTCCCACAGAGAGCCCGAAGAGGCCCCCAAGAGCCCCGAAGAGGCCCAAAAGTGGCCCCAAGAGGCCCCCAAACAGCCCCCCAGCGGCCTCCAAACTGCCTCCCGAGAGCCCCCTGCACGCCTCTTAGGCCCCCCCCCCCGATTCCTGCGCACTACATGCCAGGATGCCCCACTTGAAAAAACGAAATTCCAGTGATTCTCTTTTCGTTCAAATTCATCCCGAGCCCCATCAAGACTTCTGGGTCACATTGCAAAGATTTGTCGGGAATGCTGTTGAACTCTCTGACGCTGTCTTGCACTCTCTTGGGTCGTCTTCGTGTCTTCTTGGCTGCCCCTGAAACCATCGTAAAAGTCGAGATCCCATGAGTTCAACTGTTCAGCCTAGCTAGAACGTCAGCGCGCGCGCGCGCCAAGAACGACACAGAAGAAGGGACCTCCCAAAGTCTTACGAGCGCTTTGCCCCGAGGTGGCCCCAAGGTTCTCGCAAAGGCTCTCGAGGGGCCCCCCAGATGCCTTCAGAGACTCCCGGGAGGCTCCCAGGAGGCACCAAGAGCTTCCCAAGAGGCCCCGACACGTCCCCCAAGACGCCGCCAAAAGGCCCCCAGAGGCGTCCCAACAGTCCACGGCCTGTATCCAGGAGATTTCTGAGCCATGGCCCAGGCATGGCAATTTGAGAAAAGGGAATTCCGAGAATTTCGTTTGTTTCACACGCACCTCCTGCTTATCTTTGCACAACAGACTATAATTGAGGCCTCCGTCACCACCGAACAAAGATTCCAGGAAGCCTTCGTGGCCCCACATCATCGAACACCTAAAGGAACGTGATCATTTTGTGGTGTTCGGAGGCTTGCGCAGGGACTCCAAGAAGGTCGTTAGATACACAAGGCATTTCAGCAATTGATATTATATGCGTTAGCCTTTCGAGCCTAGCTAGAACTTGAGCGCGCGCGAAGCGCGCGCGATGGTTCTAGTTTATATACATATGTGTTTACATGTACACGCATACATACATGTACACATACAGGTACACACATGCATATCGCGAGGGGGAAGTCGAGAGAGAGAGAGACAGAGAGATAAAGAGATAG